ACAAACAGGTGCTCTATATGGCTCTCCATTAGAAAGGCCGAACTCTAAACCATACAATTGGGTTTCTTCCAACCAACGACAGAAGGCATAAAACTGGGCCTCAACCTGGAAGCCGTACCCTAAATTGAACTGTCCTCATGAACAGTATGTGTCTTGTGTAATAGCTGCATGGCAACTGACATAAAAATCCCCAAAGACTACCTACTGGGACGATTGGTCAGCTACGAGTTCCATGACTTTGAACTCTTGGGCCAATTAGTGGCCTCACCCTACATGCAACGACACCAGAGGGGAGCTTAGAAAACACAGACTATACTGTTCCATTCCAGCTCGCCACACTCACGTCTGTCTTACCAGTAAACAAAGAACCGGTAGGCAGAAGTGAGCTCACAGAGGACTAACTCCTTGCCGTGTGCCAAGCCACTCGTCACCCCATCACTAACATGGATGAAGACAGGGCACTTTCCTCAACAGAACAGACATGCTGAGGCCACGCAGGATGAGGCCAACCGACAAACGTCAGCACATCCTGTATAACTACCACGGTGCCCTCACTAAAGACTCTTTAGACTGCAAGTCCCACTAACCTTCACATGGAAATATCCAACTCCATGCTGGAAAAAGGACATCGGGCTACGCAACAAAACCTGCTGCACCCATCTGGCCCGTCCTCAAGCCCAGGGTCAAAGGGTGCCTGACCACAGAAAGCTAGATCAGCAAATGCCATCGTCACAAGGGCCAATAACACCTCTGGAACAGGAAGTGCCCAGAATTCAGGGACCAACCATCTCCTCAACGCTTGATGTGGTCCCCGCCTTCTGGACGATACCTGTACATCCAAATGACCAGCATAAGCTAGCTTTCACCTTGAACAACAGACACTAAACGATCATGAGGTGCCCCGTCAGCTAGGCCAACTCACCAGCCGAAAGCAACACCCTCCTGAACAAAGCATATGCCGATGCTTATATTAGAGGCAACCTCATCTATGTTGATGACATCCTTAATGAATGTACCACCGTGTCTGGCCATTAAAGGGAGATAGTCCATGGCCTACAACAGTTGACTGGCTAGCGCAAAGACTACCGCCTAACAAGGTCTCCGAACTGAGCGGCTCCCTAAGTGGGTGCAACTACTCCAGACACGTCATTAAGAACTGTTCAAAGACTTCTCGACCCGTGACCACCCTGTCAAAAAGGGCTGTCCTTCTGTTTGACGGAAGGTCAACAGCTGGCCACGATTGAAGTGAGACAACGTCTGGGCATATGCAAGTAAGACACTCTTTGCGCCAGAAGGCAAATACTAAGACTGTGTAACAACATCGCTCTGCACGGTGGGTGCCATTTCAACAGCTATTCTCCAACTTCTTTGGAGCACAGAAGCCATCATAGACACCTGCCACCAACCTGTCATGTTACTGAACAGTCAGCACATCCGGGATGGCATAAATACTAACGCCAGTACGGCCATGCGGCCGATGGCCCCCTAGGGCCACTGTATTGACACTCGTTACACCTTAAGCCACAAATCCACGCTGGGTAACAGCATAGCTGTTTACCAAGACTGTACAACTGACAGACAATTGGCAACGCTGTAGAGGAGGAACCCCAGCCACCTCTACCAACCTGTCATTCAAGTACTCCCAAGTACTGGGATGAGAATGCGTGCCAAGGTATGCCCACAACCTGTGTCGATGGATGCTCCCACAACCACCGCAGTATGCAGAAATGGCAGCCACCATTGTAACCCTTCAAAGCACAGCAGCCCATGACATCAGAGTGCACTTAGCTGCAGACTCCAACTTGCTAGACTCTGTTTCACGTTCCACCTCCCAGGGGGGAAACAAAAGGCTTCAGAACTGCCCACCACAAGCCCGTGAAACGACAACACTTTTTCTTCTTCCCAAGTAGGCGACCACAACACTGACAACCACATCATGGTCGTCTACAGAAGAAGATAAGAACAGTTCAAACTTTCAGGCACTGACAAGAACCTGAATGACTGGACCGATGCCCTTACCAAGAAGGTGCATCACACGGTGGACCATGGTCACCACCCAACCAAAACCCCGAGATCAGGCAGCTGTAACCGGCAGCCAACAACCCTGCCTAGCCTAGCTGCCACATCCAATCTCACCAGCCCGACAAATGTCGCAAACGACATTGCGACCACGTAGGCATCTGACTCCTCACGTCAGACCAGTTTTATTTTTTACTTTTACTTTGTCTCTTGTATTGTTAGTTTTCCACCACTCACCCCACCTACCACCCGATCCTTCTGTCTGACCTCAGCTCCAACACAGATGTCACTCAACACCTCCTACATCTTAACAAACAGGTGCGTGTGAATCCTTTTTGGGTTGTCCCTGAAGACCCCACGACACAACAGTTCGTGCTGCCTCAGAGCCAGAGGGGGGTAATGCTAATGTACTGACCCTGCACACAGCAAAACATGCCTAGGGCGCTGATTCACCGAGCACCACAGCAACAGAGAAACCATCCTCTCATGATCAGACACCCAGATGGATCGGGCGGGACACTTCCATGGGCTCACAAGGAGCAACAATTTTTTTTTTGTGTGTTTTTCTCTCCTTCGCTATCTCTTCCCTTGGAACTCATATGCCAGTACACCAAATGGGTAGAGTGTCTCTCAGCACCGACGACACAGCCCAGACCATGGCATATCTTCTGATGATGTAAACAACTTGGACAGAGGCACCCACCCTGCACTACCAACACCACACAGGAAGGGCAAAGACTCCTGGTTGTATACGCTCAGCTGCATAGCAGCCAACCCTCAAACCTACGTATCACAACCAGAGTAACAAACACTGGGCCACAAGCCAGGAAAGGGGGTAGAGACCCTGCAACCGGTGTCACCGTGGAATGCCCAGCCAAGCACAGTCATCACAGACACCACCTACTCTCTCCCCTGTTCCCTCTCTCCTCTCTCTTCCTTTTCTACACAGGATAAAGCCACGATCCTGAACTTCAGTCTCACCAGAAGACCACTGCAACCTCACAACTATACTCCTCTATCACTCATCTCTGGAAAACTGCGGAACAGCTACCACTCCGTGCCTCCCGACAACAGGGAAGCACCCATTAACAAGGGCCTCGCCATTCAATAAGATGCAAGCACCAGTGGACAAGTGCACCCCTGACCTCCCCCTCAAAGCTTTCCCGCGTGAAACCAGGAAAGGGGGGAAAGAGCATGAAGAAACTAAGTCAAAACTGCTTGAGTCTAAGCCACGACTCGTCGACCCAGCAACGGAGGTCGAAGGAAACTCACCTCCAACCCATCCTGTACGTCAAGTTAGATTTCAACCAACAAGGTTTTCTCCGAACCTTCTTCGTTGCAAAGGGGGGATATATGTAGCGTACAGTCCACAGATTAAATTTCTTATTGATTTTATCACGGTCTGGCTTTGGTCAGAAGGTTTTACGACTCCTGGCTCCAAGAAGTCTGGATTTTCGTGACAGCTTAAGTTGTTCAGGGGAACTGGAGAGATAAGCAGGAAAGCTTCAAAGACATTCCTGCCCAAATACGCTCACACACGCACACACACACCCACGAGGCTGTTCCGACAGAAAGAAAATGAACTCATCAAATCCAGAACCAGCACAAAACCAATGTGTTATGTTTTGTAAACTTTGTATCTAATTTCTGACTTTTCTTACCTGTGTAACCTCTCTTATAACCTGTATGCATGTTCCATTTAGGCCTTTGTAAAGCATAAATATTGTAAGGATATGAAAAATTATGTCGATGTACTTTTAAAACCCCCATGTTTGGTACCGATGGGTTTCTGCTGACATTTTACAGCACATGATGCATAGAGAAAAACCATAACTAGCATTGCCTTATTCTTTAATCCCCTGTATTAAATGCCTGTCCGCATGCTTTGGGCGGACACTCAAATTTGCATACGAGGGACCTTGAGACAAAGAAAGGGTTCGCGCGCAAACTTTCCCCTGAAATCATTGGTCTTAATGCTGTACGGGTCGTCACGTGACCCGCAGGTATAACTCATTCTGCCCTCCCAAACATCTGGGCAGAAAGAGAACGTCCCAAAAAGGAACATCATTGACGGTGGCCCTCGGGCCACACGTGGCTTTCTAAGCCGCATGGACTTTTCCCGCCACGCTTTCTTTATTTTCCGGCAAAGTAAATTCAGTTTAAAGTTTGCGATCGTGTTCGTCCGAACTGCATTACAAACTCCACGCATCAAAGGACATCAAGAGTAGTTTCATCACGACGGAAGAGAGACGCATAAGAGAGACCGCCAGACATGAAAGACCAGGTGATTTTAGTTATGCGATTAAGCTGTGCCCCTTATCAAAAAGGTGTTTTTTATAACCTTGGTGGTCCGTAATGGTGCGTGTGGAACTGAAAGTTTTGTCACTCTTTAATCTGAAATCTATATTTTCTAGCTTTACTATTTCTCTTTGCTGTTACACGTTCTATAGACCCGATATCTCCACGTGGTTTACCTTTGTTTTGTGTTAAATGTATGTTTGTGCGTTTGTTTGTTCGTTACGTCTGACTAGTCAATAAATTCCATTATAATCAAATGAATTGTATTGTTTGCCTCACGAGAAAATGTCACTGAAATACAGATTCCTCTGCCTAGCTATTATAAGTTGTTTAAAACTTTTGAATGATTAATCTACTTCACAAGAAGTAGCAATTAAATTCCCTTTTTCTAAATGAATAAATTACAGTGTCCGCTCGGAAGAGCGGCGGCTCTGCTTGTGTTCGTTTGGTCAAATTAACAATAAATTGATCCGGAATATTAATGATTAATAATAATTCGTTATTGTTGATAATTAATATTCATAATCTGGGAATCCGCTCGGTCGCGCGAGCATGATCATTTACAATCATATGTTTGTTTGACCAAACTGACTGAAGCTTAAGCCGGAATATTAATAATTAAGAATAAACCGTTATTGTTGATTATTAATATTCATAAAATGAGCTAATTTCATGCTACACATTATAGTTAGTAAAAACTGATTACCAGATTTTGTTTTAGGGAGCGGCCCCACACAGTCCACAATTATGTGTTCAAAAGGATCGCCAATAACAGGTATGGGAGTCAAGGGTGCAGGCGGAATCACTTGGTTCGGCTTTCCTACTATCTGACATGTATGGCAAGCACGACAGTATTTAACCACATCTTTTTTTAAACCTGGCCAAAAGAAATGCTTCAAAATTCGGTTGTATGTCTTTGTGATTCCTAGATGGCCAGCAAGCTGATGGTCATGTGCCAGATATAGTACGTGTTGACGATAAGGAGATGGAACAACAATTTGATAAACAGCATCCCAATCAAAATCACTACCTGGATTTGAACACCATTTCCTCATCAGCATCTCACTGTCAATGAAAAATCCACTTTTCATTTCTTTTATCACATCTTTTGTGACAGCAGAATCGAAAATAGGTGCAAGAGATTTATCCTCTTTTTGAGCAACCATGATTTTCTCTCGTGATACAGGTAACTTTAACGTTTCAGTATCAGTCACTACATCAACATTTTGTGTGTTTTGTTTTTCTCTGGATGTCTCAGAATCAGAAATTTTCTCACCAGCTAGGAGAGGAGAGAAAAATGAATCAGCCAATTCAATTACGTTACCCAACTTGCGTGTCTGTGCACGTGTAACTGCGCATGCAGGAAAAACATCAGGGTAAGCGTCAGTCAAATCCGATTGAGCACACAAATCTGGTTTTTCCGTTACCTCTAACACCGGCATTACTTTTCCTCCTGCCAGATCATTTCCAAGAATAACATCTATGCCCTTTACAGGAAGTGATGGGCGCACAGCCACCCTCACAAATCCTGTACACAGATCACTCTTCAAGTGTATACGATGTAGCGGTGCTTTGATGCAATTCATCTCAATGGCCTGAACAATCACACTGGAGCCACAGAAAGTGTCATCTGACAACTTTAACTTGTCTGCAACAATAAAAGATTGCAAAGCACCAGTGTCCCTAAGAATTTTTACCTTAATCTGATCCTCACCATTTTCAGACAACGAAATAAATCCTTCCAGAATAAAAGGTTTATAATTGTCATCAATTTTGTCATCATCAGATGCATTGAAAGCAGTGTGAGTTTTTAAAAACCCTACACTTTTCACTTGCGGCTGCTGTTTCCGTTTTAAAACCAAACAATCGGCTATGACATGACCTTGTTTGTGGCAATAATAGCACTCACGTTCTTCACGAGTTGTGCTAGATTTTGGTCTACTGGTTTGTGAAGAATTAGGCTGGGACTTCTCAGAACGTGCAGTAGCAAAAACATTCTTGTGAGTTAAAATGAACTCGTCTGCTAGAACAGCTGCTTGCGACAATGAAGTCACCTTCTGTTCATTTAGATAAACAACAACTCGCTCGGGCAAACAATTTTTAAATTCTTCCATTAACATCAGTTCCCGCAGTGAGTTAAAATCAGCCACCTTACTAGCGCTACACCACTTATCAAACAAGATTCCTTTCTCTCTTGCGAATTCAACAAAAGTCTGAGCAGATGTTTTCTTACATGCTCTAAATCGCTGTCTATAGGCTTCTGGAACAAGTTCATAAACTCGTAAAATTGCAGACTTGACATTTTCATATTTCAAGCTATCCTCAACTGACAAAGTAGAGCAAACCTCTTGAGCTTTACCAAACAACTTGCACTGCAGCAATAGTGACCAAACCTCTTTAGGCCAACGTAAAGAAATGGCTATCCGCTCAAAAGCACAAAAATAAGAATCTACTTCTGATTCTCTAAATGGTGGGACTAATGCAATGTGCTTACCTATGTCAAATGCAGTCGGAGCTGGATCAGTAGGCGGGGCCACATCAGAGGACACAGAGGCAGGAGCCGAATTGGGCTGCGCAGCTGAGCCAGAAGAAATCTTCATCGCCTCCAGATCTAGCTGTCGCAGCTTGATCACTTTTTCAGCCTCTATTTCTAGCTTGCGTATTTCTAAACGCAAGTTTATTTCAGCCTGACGTGCATGCGCTTTTTCTTGTGCCTCGTACTGCAGACGGGCTAAGCGGACTTTCAGTCGCGGATCATCTCTGTAACCAGAGGAAATAGGGGAGAACGGATCAAACACTGGCAAGCCAGCCTTCACCTCCGCGCCGACATCAGCTTGACCATTAGGATCATCCTCAGCACCCGGACTGAGATGCGCCACAGCAACGTCATCCTGGCTAATATTTTCACCAGTCTCCTCCACAACATTTGACAGAAGAAGAACACTTTTCTCATGTAACTTTAACAGTATCTTACCTTTTATTTCTGCCTTACGACTCTGCTTGTTAACAACAATCTGATAATGATCAGCAATCAGTAATAAATCCTGCTTCCTACAAACATTAATCTGCTCTATGGTTGGTTTTGTAACAAATTCCTCCAAACTAAAAACCTCCATGATACAGACTACACGAAACAAACAGCAAGATATCCTTCCGCAAACATCTATTATGTACAATACACAAACTAACACCAATTGCCACTAACAAACACAAAACTTATCACAATTTCAGGTTTCTTTTATTAAAAAGAGATCCCGGACGAGCCCCCATTTAAATGTTACGACTTTTAAGTTTTGGTATCTAGGGTTTAAAAGGTAACATTTAAGGTGATAATATTTTGTGGTCAGTTGGTGGCAAAATATCAACACGACAACCCAAATACTGCAAAAATAAGTGAATTTATTTACAATAGTGAAAGGAAGTCAAAAAGCAATAAAGTATTATTTACAAGATCTCACAACATACAATAAATCAATCAATATAGATTAAAGATGGTGGGGGAAACGAGAGTTAAGTGGCGCCAAACAAATGAAAGAAATATAACAAAAACCCCAATTCTAACTAATAATTACCCTCTAAACTGTCTAATACAAAATAAACAAACAAAACATCTTCAGCGTATTCACGCTATAACTAATCTACTCTTCTAACCAAATATACGGAGAAAACTTACAGCGGGTGGCGCTCACTTCTAAACTAGTGTGTTTAGACAGTGGAGTTATCTGCGTGATGCAATATGTATGTCACGTGACATCTAAACTCCTCGAATCCAAGGGAAAGGCTGAAGACAGACGTCAGGGGATTGTCACATATACACATCCAAGACGGTAACAGCGATCAACACAAGAACAAGACCAAAATCAAAACTAAGTTCACGTCAACATCACAGCACATAACAACAAGCCAAAAAACACACACAAAGGCAAGCAAAGACCGCAAGCAAGGCAGAGCAAAAGCAGAACGAGCTTCCCCGCTCGCATCCCTTTTAAACTTTGAGCTCCTGTGCTGATTGGTTGTGAAGGTGATGACGTCACAAGGTGTAATTGAGATTGACGTCTTCACAGACGAATGGGATACTGGAATGGGCGAACCTGAGAACTGACAGAGAGAGGAGGAGGGAGCAAGCGAGCGAGCAAGAGAGGGAGAGAAAAAGAGCGCACACACACAAGCAAAACAAACAGGCATATACATATGACTGTAACAGTGTGTATGTGTGAGTATGTGTATGTATGTATATGTGTGTGTGTGTAGTCCTACATTTGTGCAGTCCTGCTGTAATCCTCGTGTGTCCTCCATGATCCAGACTGTAAACAGACAAAGATGGAGAGAATGAGCTGTTTAGTTTCCCCCTCAGCAAATAAGCTAAAGCTAGCACTAAACTGCTCAGCTACACACTCCAAATTCTTGAGCTAAAACACACAACACTTGTTGGTTAAGCCAGGATGAACAATGAATGTAACACAGTGCGTTCTTTTCCTCTGCTGTTGGTGAAGCGAGCGCAGATACTGCTCATGTTGATGGAGACACCCTGCTGCAACATTCATTTATTACAGTGATCACACTTAGCTTTGCCATCGTTCTTCAGCACATGCAGCCTTTAAGCACATGTTTTAGTCCATCTCTAAATAAAGTTTCACAAACTAATTTCGAGAGGAACCCATGATATGATTGACTGCAGCTGGCCACTCATCTACACTCATTAGCTAGCCAATCAGATTGATCCAAACTCACTATAAGTAGCCTAGTTAGAACTACTCCCTTATCTTTGTTTTTCTAAAGATGCTGACGACAGGTCCACTCCAGCTCCTCCGAACGCTACTCACGGACAAATCGACCTTGTACTATTTTTTCAACTACAATACCACACCAAAATTACCATCATCGTCAGCATTTACGAAAACAACAACAGTGACGGCATCAGAAATCTCAACAGCAACAGCGCAACTACAGACAAGAAGGAAAGCTCCTCACTCCCCGAAACACCATCCGCGTCTCCACACCCAGCTCAGCCTGGAAGTCGGTTCGAAACCGAGGCTCCAGCAAGAGGCCGAAGGCCTATCCACTCCAGCCAGAATACAACGCAATTCCCATCTCCGTCAGGTACCTTCTCCAGCATCATCATGCATCTCTCATATCCAACAAATGACGGTCATCATAGTCCTCCAAACTCCTAGACGCCGCGACCATAATTCCAAGCCGCTGCATTAAACCCGGAAAGACTTTACGAATCCATGTCTTCACCGACTCCACTAACCCAACCCCCCCCCCAGGACATAACAACCACACGCTCCTGCCAAACTCCCTATCCCAAACAGACAATAGCCCTACAAACACTCTGCCACCCCGGGGCATCAAGGAAAGCATTAAAGTAGTCTCGGAATCGGACATACTGCAGCCTTCATTAATTAATTAATTAAACATGAATAAGACTAATATCCGGACAATATTCCAACTCTTGGATTTCCACCTACCTCTTCCAGCCTGCAGCTCCCCAATCAGTGCAAACTCCAGCCCGCCTCTTCCAGCTATCCTTACCACTTTCAACCCTCTTTAGTATCTATTCTTCCAAACCTCCTACATTAACCCAGCCCATAAGAATTATTCATCCTACCTTGCTATCCCCGCTTTCCCTGCTCTCACTTCTACACACTTGCAACTAAGGCGGCGAAAGTCTAGTGAAAACTGAAATTACTTGTAGACTTCTGCCAATATGTTTTATCTTTTGTTGATTTACGTTTGCACCCTGATCTAATTTTTCTGAATTTCTCATTTCAGGTTTGTCTAACGGATCCCAGCCCGGTATCTCGGCGCTCCATTCCCATAACTCACCAGCCCTCCACGAACACTGAACCAGAAATCAAAAAGGAATTATTCGAGAAAGAGATCAACAATTCACGATCGTTCCCTTTTCTCGATCCCCGTTTAGCACATTCACATCAGCCCTACTGGAAAGGGCATTAGAACGTTTCTAAAAACGTCTAATAACAGCTTTTTCATCTCCTCATAATTCTGCCTTTTTCAGCATTAACAGCACCATTCCGCATAATGAAGATGCTTTAAATTACCACACCATAAAACAAGCAATCTCTCTAATTAATCTAGAAGGCTGCAAATTGGCAAGCAAGTCAACATTTCCCTCGCCTTCCATTAAACCCGATTTCGGGCATCTCCGATTTCCAGCATTAATAGGAAATCACAATTCTATTAAGCAGTCCGTTTAACACGCGGATGCTCGCCAATAACCACGGCGTTTGCACGTAGTTCATCTACTAGACGATTTCCTTATAATCTCTCCCCCATAATATCATCCAGCCAAAACCTAGTGACCGGTTTTCTAATATTGGCATTCCCATCGCGGACAAACCTCCAGCTTAAGCCCTTCTATAAAATTCTTAAGCATTAATTTGGAGTGAAAAAATTACAAGCTTCCATACCTAAATAAATCGACTAAAATTAGCACCCTTCTTTATTCTTGAAGAACAAGATCAAGATAAGCACAAATGCTGCCAAAATCAACCAAAACTCACATGCGCAGTATCCCGCAGGGATGCCTTTTCGTCACTCGCCTCCTTCAACTCGCGGCATCAGTCCCCGGAGTAGATGATAAAGTATTTCTATCCGATCTCCGCCTTAACAATCCCGGCCTAAAGGAAGTCGCGCACCGGAGGCGCTGCTTAGCACTGTGACGCGGCACGCACATGACAAGGGATAGTAGGCCAATACAAACCAGTCTGAAGTGAGGCTGGGCACTGCGGACAGCCGCTGATGGCCGCCGGAGCGCGTATCCCAATAGAACATGTTTAGAATTCTAAACGCACGGTGCCACGCAACGCGTCACAGAGCGGCGCTAAAAGCATGCGATCTGCTTTATGCTTTAGTTTCTTAGCGCTGGAATAGCTGCCCATTCATTTATAAGTGATCCAATTCATCCCCAGTATATCCAATTTTTACACAGCACCGTTACAACGAAGCCGCTGTTCACTGCGCTAATAAAGTGCATTATCATTATCCTGCTTTAAGGCGGCTTCTCAGTCACTTTCAATTCATTATAACGGCTGTACATGTTCCTAGTTACATAAGGAAATTGCTGACTCTCTTTCTTGCTTTCCAGAAACTGGTACAGGAATTCTTGATCTGTCTCTGTCAGAAAGAGATGCATAAATGAGAATACTAGTGAGCAGTTTGTGAAGGCCATATCGCTAGCACCAAGCATATCTGCAGATTCTGTTGATTCTCTCCTTGATTTGTTCAATTCTAAAATTGAGAATGTCATAAATGACATCGCTCCTGTTAAAGTCAAGAAGATGACTGGCAGGCAAAAGGGATCTTGGACAAGGTCACCTAGAGTACAAATGATTAAAAGACAGTGCAGAAAAGCTGAGCGTATGTGGAGAAAGACGAAACTAGTAGTCCATTATAATACCTATAAAGACAGTCTTCATGCCTTTAATATGGAACTAAACACTGCTAGACAGACTTTCTTTTCAAGCCTTATAAACAGCAACTTAAATAATGCTTGCACACTCTTTGCAATGATAGAGAGACTCACAAACCCCCCCCAGTCGGATTCCAAGTGAGCTCCTCTCCGAAAGCAAATGTAATGAGTTTGCTAATTTCTTCACTAATAAGATCAATAATATCAGAAAGGCAATTAGCTCATCCAATCAGTCAAGTTGTGTCGATATCAAACAAGGTCAACCACAACTTAAGAAATCAGACATTATGTCTGATTTCATGGCAATTAACGGCAAAATATTAGAAGAAATTGTGCAAGTTATGAAAACATCAACCTGCAGTCTTGACACGCTCCCCACATCATTCTTCAAAACGGTGTTTACCTGTTTAGAAATGGATCTTCTAAAAGTGGTAAATGCTTCACTTCTCTCAGGGATTTTTCCAACCTCACTTAAAACTGCAGTTGTTAAACCCCTCTTGAAGAAGAACAACCTGGATAACACCCTATTGAGCAATTACAGACCTATCTCAAATCTCCCTTTCTTTGGCAAAATCATTGAAAAATTTGTTTTTAACCAGGTTAAGTTAAGTTCTTAAACTTCAGGGGGTGTTTAGACAATTTTCAATCTGGTTTCAGAGCACATCACAGTACAGAGAGCGCTCTTATAAAGATAATCAATGATATACGCCTAAATACAGATTCAGGTAAAATAACAGTGCTGGTATTGTTGGATCTCAGTGCTGCATTTGACACTGTCGATCACAGCATACTTCTGGATAGGCTTGAAAACTGGGTTGGGCTATCTGGCACGGTCCTCAAATGGTTTAGATCTTACCTTGAAGGTAGAGGTTACCATGTCAGTATAGGTGACCATAGGTCGAGGTGGACACCCATGACGTGTGGAGTCCCACAAGGCTCGACTCTGGCACCTCTCCTGTTCAACCTTTACATGCTCCCTCTGAGCCAAATAATGAGAAAGAACCAAATCTCCTACCACAGCTATGCTGATGACACTCAGATATACCTAGCCTTACTGCCTAATGACTACAGCCCCATTGACACCCTCTGCCAATGCATTGATGAAATTAGTAATTGGATGTGCCAAAACTTTCTTCAGTTAAACAAAGAGAAAACTGAAATGATTGTGTTTGGAAACAAAGATGAGGTTCTCAAGGTAAATGCGTACCTTGGCACTAAAGGTCAAACGACAAAAAATAAGGTCAAGAATCTTGGTGTGACTCTTGAGTCAGATCTGAGTTTCAACAGTCATGTCAAAGCAGTCAGTAAATCAGCATACTATCATCTCAAAAACAGCAAGAATCAGATGCATTGTTTCTAGTGAAGATTTAGAGAAACTTGTTCATGCTTTTATCAGCAGCAGGGTGGATTACTGTAATGGACTCCTCACTGGTCTTCCTAAAAAGACAGTCAGACAGTTGCAGCTCATCCAGAACGCTGCAGCCAGAATTCTAACCAGAACCAGAAAATCAGAGCACATCACACCTGTCCTCAGGTCTTTACACTGGCTGCCAGTTACATTCAGAATAGATTTTAAAGTATTATTACTGGTCTATAAATCACTAAATGGCCTAGGACCTAAATACATCACAGATATGCTCACTGAATACAAACCTAACAGATCACTCAGATCTTTAGGATCATATAAACTAGAAGTTCCAAGAGTTCAGTCAAAGCAGGGTGAATCGGCTTTTAGCCACTATGCCCCTCGCTGCTGGAATCAGCTTCCAGAAATGATCAGATGTGCTCCAACATTAGGCACATTCAAATCCAG